TCACTTTGCTCTTAAATAAATGTTCTACTTTCCTTCAGAAAACCTCTCTTTAGAAATCTTTTCTCAATATTGATTAAATTGCAAACAAAACATTTGACATTGTTCTCTTTTTACTATCTAAAGGACAGATTCTGTTATTTTACTTCATGAGTAATCCTAGGGACGACAATAGGATAACTTGGGGAGTTACTCTTATTCATGCTGAATAGCTTCTGTTGGAATCCGGCCCTAAGACTACATCTACACTGTAATGCTATTTCAGGATACCAGCGTATCCCAAAATAGCTATCCCACATCTTCACAGCAAGCCCATTATTTTGAAATATAACAGGACTGTTATTCTCACGTCCCTCTAAACCTCATTTCATGAGGAATTATGTGGGTTATTTCAAAATTAGAGGACAAAATAAGATTGAAATAAGATACACATTTTGCATAGCTCAAAATTGCGTCTCTTATTTTATGCCACGGTGCAGTATGGATGCACCCTAAGTGACCTCGATATTTTGAAAATAGAATATGAGTTTGTGTTACCACTAATGCTCTCAGCAACTTTAACATTTGATATTGAGGATATTAAGCAAGAACATATAATGACCTTTGCATTGATGTGAGATAGTGAAAAGGGGAAGGCTTATCTATTAAAAACCCTGTCAGATAATATGGTATCCTGCTTGCTCCTTACAATCAGTGTTTACTACAAAGTCCCTACACCTTTGGCTTGCAAAATTGGTTTGCCTGGAAAATTGCCATATTTTCTTAGAGGAGAAAGGAGAACATTTCTGGATGATGTAAATGCCGTGGCAGTTCCACTGGGAATCAGTGCAGAAATCAGGGGTATCTGCAGAAGAACCAAATCCATCCTCACAGTACCCCTGCTTGTGTGAACTGGCTCTCACTCTGGTGGCTCTCCAGCTCCCTGGTGGTATTGCTCTAATAGAACTGTGTTAGCTAGCATTTCACCTCTCCCCAGGACAGAGGCCACCAGCCTGTATTATGTTTACTACCTAAGCAAGATGGAGCCAGAGGAGAAATTTTGTGCATTGCCACCAACTGTTGCCCAAGTCTTCACACTTTTGCCTCCAACCAACTCAGTTTCCACCTCTATCCACAACATGGGCCAGAATTCCCCAGAGCATATCCACAGGTTTCAGAAATGGGGGTAGTAGTACCACGGAAATAGTTTAGTTGTTTTCTCCCTTTCCGTGCAGGAGAAGAGAGATCTGCATGTGAAATCTTCCCTTCTTTCATGCCTGGTTGGGAAGGCAGTGATTTTTCAGGGAACTTCCCTGGTGCTTTTCACTCCTACATGAGTGAGGCAGATGGCAACTTAAAAGGGATCCCCACTGAAAAGCAAGGTGAAAGCATTTTCTTTGTGATTGTTGCTAATTTAGAGCAAGGACTGCAAAACAGTTTCCCGTCTATCATCTCTATTACACTTAGGGACCAAGCCCTTGAATAAACAAAAATGGATAATTAATAATGGACAATGGTTTTCTAATACAGCCCACCCAATCCCAAGGTTTCTGTGCACCAGTGTATTTCAGGAAAAATAAAACTATTTAATATATAATAAAACATGGTCAAGTTAAAGTAAGAGTGGCCTATTTCTGTACTGTGTTCCATCTGACTTAAGCTGTCGTGGGGACCCAAAGGAAGACCAGAGTTCAGTCAACGAAGGAGTCATAAAGGAAGCAGAGCATAGCCAACAGGAGCAAACCCAACCAGGAGAGAAACTTGGTTTTCAGAAGAATTCACTGGATGGCAATTAGAAAAGGAGATAAGCCCAGCCTAGGGGGCACCAACAGGAAAGAGAGCCCAGCCATGGAAAAGTCAGAGAGGTAGCGAAGTCCAACCATAAGGAACAAGAGAAAAAACAAAACTAAAATGGTGAAAAACAGGAATAGCAGAGTCCAGATGGGACATTAGGGGTACGTCTAAACTACATGGCTCCGTCGACGGAGCCATGTAGTTTAGACGTACCCCTAATGTCCCATCTGGACTCTGCTATTCCTGTTTTTCACCATTTTAGTTTTGTTTTTTCTCTTGTTCCTTATGGTTGGACTTCGCTACCTCTCTGACTTTTCCATGGCTGGGCTCTCTTTCCTGTTGGTGCCCCCTAGGCTGGGCTTATCTCCTTTTCTAATTGCCATCCAGTGAATTCTTCTGAAAACCAAGTTTCTCTCCTGGTTGGGTTTGCTCCTGTTGGCTATGCTCTGCTTCCTTTATGACTCCTTCGTTGACTGAACTCTGGTCTTCCTTTGGGTCCCCACGACAGCTTGGCTCTGCTCATCTGGCTCTCCAACTTCCCTCTGCAGCTGTGGAGCCTGTGATTGCTCCTCTGGGCTGGATGTAGTACTGTGTCTGCCTCATCTTAGTCAGGTTTGCTGGATGGTTGTTTTCAAACTGTGATCACCTCTTCTGGCTTTACCTTTCCATACAGTTGGTAGCAATAGAGAAGGACCCCTTCCCTTTGACATCAGTAGGGTGTGTGCACAGACATACACACACTCTTCTTCTCCAACTCTTCCTCCTTCCAGGCAGTAGTAGACCTTTGGGACTGGTAAGTCAGACCAAGATGGTTGCTCACAGAGAGCCAGGGAGAGGGAACTAGAAAACAAAATGGCAACCAGGTCACTGTATACTCTGGAAATAGCATAATACAAACCCAGCTTAGATAGGAGAATAATTGCCATATCTCAGGTAGCTATAAATGCTGGTGGGCGTTGACTCTTAACTGCAGTATCAAACAGTGTCATTCATACTTCATGATATTTTATGGAATTAATTCCTTTCTCCTTTATTAATAAATGCACCCAGAAAATGTTAAGCCCCTCTTCCTCTTAATTCATCTCTCAGTGAGTCTTAATATACTTACCAAATTGAATGAATTGTTGTGGATTTACATTAGTATATCTTGGAACAGAATTCAGTATGTGATCTTTATCAAGAAGCTCATTGTACTTCTAATAATAAAGAGTACAAGCATTAACCATGGAGACGATTGTCACTCCAACACGTCTGGATTTGTCACACCCACTCAGCACCTATTTAATAATCCTGTCATTTCTTCAGATAAAAGCCCTTGAAATCTGAAATATGATTGACATATCACTTAGGGTACTAATCACATGGGGCAGCTTGACTCAGATGCAGCTTTGTTTAGAAATAAAGCCTCTTCAAACCCAAAATATGCACAAATTGTAAGAATCTTTTACTCATAGTTTGGTTCCCTACTGAGTATTGTGAACTTGATGTTAATACACAGGCAACTTTAACTTTGTTTTCCTGAGGTTTAAGTGCTTTACTTTTCAATCTTAATGTTATTTCAATGTACATTTTTATTCTCTTTTGAATAATATTTTATCTGTTTTAAACAGTTCTTTGAAAAATGAGCTAGGGTTTAATTCACTCCATTCAGAAATATGTTCCTTAAAAAGTATGTTTTGCACACCAGAAGCACAATTCCCTATCATTTGAGCCAAAGGAAACAGTTTTGCTCATTAGCAGTGCAGAGCTGAGACACACATTAAGCAGTTTAGATTACATCCAGTAAAGGACAGTGGTGCATATGGATAGTATTATAGTATACATCTAACACCAGCCCATTTAAATGTTACACAAATAGGAAGAGGGACTAAAGAATTCATTAGAAGCATGAAAAAGCAGCCTCTGAAAAAGGAAAGAGGGCATGAAATTGGATGTATAGGAGACAGGACTTTCACAAGGACAAAATCTTTTAAAATAAATTCTAGTCAAGAAAATGATGGAAACTTAAGAAGTGTTGAGAGAAGGGTGAATGCCGTGTTGTAGTCTGATCATTATGTTATGATGTGCAAAAGGAAAATATCCTGCAAAATACAATACAGTTTTCAATATAGTAAATCTTACTTTTAAAAAAATAATACAAAAATCAGGAGAACTGGAAGTATGAAACAGCTTTAACACTCCATTTATATGAGCATTACTAATAGTTCTGGTTGTTAGCAGGAACATTTTGAGAACTAAAAAGCGCGCTTAATTACCCACACAGGAATCCCCATAACTTCATTGGGAATTGCATGTGTGAATTAGGGAGCACAAATTGGCCCTAATTGCTTTTACATTAGCATTTAAATTCTTATTTTTTAACTTTTTTCCCTCATGATGGTTAGAGTTTTTCATTTTCTCAGGAGTTTATCAGCCATGAAGGAAAGAAAGCACATTTACTGTCGGGAGGGACTAATCCTGCAATGTGTTGAGTCTTTCCTGAAGGTGCTGAATTCCTTCACCTCCCTTCAGATCTCACTGGGAGTCAAGGGCACCCAGTACCTCTTTATTTATTTCCAGGATTGGGCCGTTAGAGATTAACGGAGCAATGGTCAGAAACTCTTATCTGTTCTCCATAGATGATTATAAGGACAGACACTTTAATTGTTGCAAAGTGAGAGTGCACTTATTGAAGCCACATATTATTCCATTTCTGAGTTTTCCCATGGCCTGTGAACCAAACGTGGATGGTACTGAGAAATATGTATTGATGTTTTGGGCCAATAAATCATATGCTGTAAATATTTAGTGCTAGAAACTTAGCACAAGAGCAATGGTACACTGAATTGGCTGACCCTTGCCAGTCTGAAACGTGATAATTTTGGTGCTCATAAGAGCCT